GCGAACGTCTGGCAGATGGCATTGGCGCTGGCGCTGCCAACCAAGACCAGCTTACTCGTCCCCCACCGTTTGACCTGGCTGAACTTGCGCTCCGCGGGCAGCGAGGCCCCCTCCACGCGGGCGACGAAACGCTCAAGGAACTTTTGCAACGGCTCAGTTTGCATGTACTCGGCCGCCTGCGACAAAGACCTGCCAGCCATGGCTTTCGCCCGCAGCGGGAGCCCGAAACCTGCGTCGATGCCGTCGGTGTTGGCACTCAGAAAAATGCGTATCGCATCTGCGTAAGTCTCCGGGTACCAACGCTTGCACAGACGGCAGAGGGCGAAGGGCATCTGACGACACCTGCGGAAACGCAACAAGGTCTCCACTTCTGCGCGCAGAATCATGGCCACCGCTCCAGCCAGGTCGAGGCCGCCATCGAATTGCATGCACTGCCACATGCGCAAGCGGCGGTCTGCGGCGAGCTGCTGGGCGGCGCCGCCCACGAGCCTGCACAACAGGGGCGCGCCCTCAGCGGCGGGCGGGCCTGCCGTTACGACGCCGCCGCCGATTGTTTGTGTCCGCTGCTGGTCGCCCGTCCAGAAACATGGGCCGCATCCTTATGAGACACGAGCGCCGTGACCCCAGCGGAAATCTGCAGAGCCAAGGACGTGCGCCGCAAGAGCTGGCCCGCATCTGGATGGCTGAAGAAGCGTAATACGAAATCCAACCTCTTCTGGGTTTTATGCTGCGCTGCCACCTTTCCCGTCTTGAAGCAGTTCGCAGGCACGCCCAACATGTGCATCGTCAGCACGTGGTCAATGCTGGCTTTTCGTCCACCACAAACAAACACTTCACGATGAAAGCGACGGCACAGCGAACAACCGCAGGACTTTCGGCGTCGGGGTCGGCGCCGACGCCGACCACGTGTGTCAAGGGTTGCAGGCCGCCATTGAACAGCTGGCGGCACTCGTCGGGAACGACGCGCGTCGTGTGCAGCTCCTGCAGGCGAAACATCCGGTCCTCGTGGTCAGTGTCCCGTCGCCCCCATGGCAAACACACCGAAGTCCTCTCTACCCAGTCTCGAGTTGCCTCGAGGAACTGCTCGTAGTAATCAGATACAAGGTATGTGTACAACCGCACGGCCGCGCCGCACAGCGTTGCCTGTAGCTTGAAGCCGCCGACGTCACCGAGGTCGGCGATCAATCCTCGGGCCGTGGACCCAGATATCAAGTTGCTGGAGTGGGCCGCGCACGTCATTGCTGCCAGGAAGTACGCCGTGCGAGGGCCCAGGTGCGCGGCCCGGGCGATTGCCAACAAGAGAGCTGCCGCCGCCATATTGGCGGGGACCCCGCCCTGCAGGATGATGCGGACAAACCACGCCCATGGGCCATCTCCAGCAGCCGCGACGCCACCACCAGAAAGCCCAACACTCTCGCAGACTCGCCGAACCTCGCGATCCAAAGCCGTCGCGAGCGCGTTCGCGTTCTTGCTCGCCAAAGGAACCAGCTCCGACGGCGCGGAAAACATGTAGTTTCCGACGGACACAACCAAGACGTTCGCCAACACGTTGGACGCACGGCCTCGGCGCAGGAGCTCTGGCATGGTGAGCGTATTGCTTCTGAGTCTGAGGTCCGCTGCGTCCTGGACATGCAAAAATACAACGCAGACAAACCCCGTTACCTGGCAACGGGGCCCCGCGCGAGCCGACGCGACCGCGCGCGAGCAGGCCTTGCCGGCCTCATCCTTGAGGGTCTCGACGAAGGCCCCTCGGATCTCGCTCAGGGACGATCGGCCGACCACAGTGTGGTCCACCCCCTGGGGCCCAGGGCCGCAGATGTCTGAGAGTGATTGAACCCTCGTCGAGCACCGATGGCTGCTCGGACCTGGGCGCGCAAGTTCCTGAGGCGAGCCAGCACCCTCGCAGGGGGAGCGTCATCAGCCGAAGTTCCATTGAGCCACGCTCCAGCAGGAGTTCGACGAGCCGACGGATACTGGTGCGATTGGAAAAGTGATGGTGATGATGGGACTGATCAGAGGGAAAAAAGGAAAATCTGTCGTAACGCCAATTTCCGTCATGGTGAATTCGGCCTGGGGGCCCAAGTCCGCTTAAAGTGGCGGAAAACCCTCCTGGGGCCCAACGCGCCATTTCATCGAGCTGCACCGCCCGCGGCGATGGGGAGGGAACCCGAAAACCGAAAAATCTCGACCTTAAAACTTCAACCGGCAACCGATCCCTGACGGAGGGGCAGGGAACGGGGACTGGGTCGGATATCCTGGCGACCAAACCGGCCGCGAGGCGGCGAACCCGCGCAGCGAAACAGGGGCCCAGCCCGACCTCCTCCTTCTCATAATTTCTCGTCGTCGTCTCCATGTCGTCCTCGCCCTCGTCGTCGTCGCCGTCGTCGGTCGTCAATCGTTGGTCGTCACTCGTCGGTCGTCGTCGATCGTCGTCGGTCGTCGATGTTGGTCGCCAGTCGTCGCGTCGCGTTCCACGAGGGTGGTCGGACGGCGTGGTTGTCGTCATCGCGGTCGTCGTGGTTGTCGTCGGCGTCGCAAGCACGCAGCCCCCCCCCCAAAAAAAAAACTTAGCATATGCAGTTGCTTTGCGGCGTCGCCACGGAACGGCGTCGCAACATCTCCAACTGGAAAAGCATGGTTTAGCAACGGCACGGCGCAGCACAACAACGGCACGGCGTCGTAACGGCACGGCGTCGCTCGTCGCGGTGTCGTTATCATTTTCCTCCTCCTCCTCCTCCTCCTCCCCCTCCTCCTCCCCCACAGCATCACTATTACCGTCGATCCTGGCCCCTCTCCCGCGTCCCTGACGTTCCAAATCGTGTTGCCGTGCAGTGCGATGCGGCGTTGTGCAACGCAAATTATGCAATGCCACGCCTTGCGTTGCAATGTGCTGACATGCAGTGCTGGACTACGTAATGCCAAGACAAGGTAGGACATGCTACGCTCTGCCGTTCTCCTCTGCGTCATGTTGTGCCATGTCATGTCACGCATGGCCGGTGTACCCTTTCGGTGCCACTGCCCTGATTCTAATCTGGCTGCGAACGCAGAAGGGATCTGCACAACGGTAAGGGATGGGCAGGAGGAAGGGATAGGCCGCCATACAAGACGTGAGCGGGGCTAGCTTGCACCCCCCGTCCCCTACCCCTTCACAGCGAGCCCTCCTCCGACAGCCCCTTCCTCAGGAAGGGAACGCGTATTTCTCCTGATGGCCTGCCTCCTCCACCCCAAACCTCCTCCACCACCAATTCGCCCCCTCGTCCACCTCGTCCATTTTTTTTTTTGCCAAGCTCGGGAACGCACGATCTTGACGCATCGCGGCAGCCCCCACCGCGCGAATCAAGAGGTCGCCTTGCCAAGCAAACAGCAAGAGGGTAAGAGAGAGAAAGAGAGAAAGATAAATAATGAGGGTGGCAGAGGAAACGCGACGGCAGACCCAGGTTAAAAACATGCGCGCGCATGCGCGCCCCCGAACTGGACGACATGACCGCGCACGCCGCGAGCGGCGAGATTGGACAGGGAAGGCAAACCAATGCGACGCGATAAAACCAAAAGGAACAATCAATAACAAACAAGCCGAAACGAAAATAGAACACATAAACAACGAAACGCAGACCAATACGGAAGAAGACGCGAAGCCGAGCCGAGCAGGACGGAAGGAGGGGCGGAGCAGCACGGAGCAGAACGGAGCAGCACGAGCAGAATTAGGGGAGACATGCAAGGACTTATTGAGGTCCCCAGGATCGGCCACGTAAAATGTCTGTCTCTGGGGGTGGCGCGTGCCCTCGCGTGATTCCACGCTTTTCTTCCAGAAGCAAGAGGGTTCCAAAGGCTCCCAAGACGGTCCAAGAAGAACCCTAGTCGCCCAAAGAGTGTTCCAAGATGCCCCATATGGCCTGGCCTCAAGAAGGCCTAAGAGGCCCCAAAGACGCCCCAAGAGGGCTCCAAGAGGCAAACAACAGTGAACTTCTTCGGTGCTTCAAACTAGCCTTTTCTGGATATCGACGCTCCAGGAAGGCCCAGAAGGTCTACACGACCGTCCCAAGATGGCCCACGAGGCCTTCAGGAAGGGCCCCCAGACGGCCCAAAGAGAGCCCCAAGACGGCCCGAGGGCCCCCCAAGACGGGCCAGCAGGCCCCAGGAGGGGCCCAAGAGAGGCCCCAGATCGGGGATCTACTGACCCGGGCCAATCCAGACCCGGGCCTGGCAGCCCTTGCAGGATCCTGTAAGATCCTGCAGGATCCTGCCCCCAAGCCCGGGTCAGTGCGGCCCTGGCTCTGCAGGATCCTGCAAGATCCGGCGCTCGGGCTGACCCCCGTGCGCACTGACCTTGGCCGTGCGCACAAGGGGGTTGGAGGGAGGGGGGAGGGCTTCTCAGAGGGAGGCTGCTTCTTAGAAGGCGCCGGCCCGCGCATTCTAAGTAAGACGCCCTCCCCCCCTTCCCCCCTCTGCGCGTGGCCGATGACCCCCGCCCCACGGGCTCCCGACGCGAGCCGGCTGGTCGGGCCCTCCGCCCCAAGGCAAGGGGAGGGGCGGCCCCCGAGCCGGGCCGCGGGACCCCCGGGAGGCCGCCCAGACGCCCCCGGGAGGTCCGCACAGGGGGCCCCGAGCGGGCCCCGAGAGATCCCCGAGAGGCCCGAAGGCCAAGGCGATGCCAGGCCGAGGACAACGTCGGGTGGGGATGAATCGAGACTCGCCGAGATCCGGCGGCTCTGGAGGATGCCACGGGCGCCGCGGCAGCCTCGGAGCGTTCCGGAACGGACCTCTCCTCGCCCTGTAGCCCCACGCAGCAATACCCCCCCTCCAAAAAAAAATTGCCTCCAGGAGGCCTCCCAAGAGACCCTCACGGGCATCCAAGGAGGCCTCTGACCCACCACCCCAAGTGCGGCGGCGCCCGCCTCCCGACTGCTCGCCTGGGCATCGCTTCCAGAGGGGCTGCTGAGGATGCGTGAAGCGTCAAGAGCTGCACTTCCACTTCCACCTTTCGCCGGAATGGCACGAGCCTCTTGAAAAGGCCAAGTACGTTATTCCGCTCAGCATGTTTGATGATCTCAGTCGTCAAAATGGGGTGCTGTTTGTAGGGATGTTCTTCGTAAGCTTGAGGTAGCATCGGCTCGGATAACACGCGCCGCAGCGCAACTTACACGCGCCGCAGCGCAACTTCCAGACCTGCCAGAGGAAGATCAGGCCAAGCACGCAGTAGCGCAGGAAGGTCCACTTGGCCAGGGCGGTGTCCTCCGCCGCACACTCATCCAGGGCACCCTGCGGGGGCCTCGCTAGCACAGGCAGATTGACGGCCAAGGCGCCCGCGGCGCTTGGCATGTTCCAAACCAACGGTTCCCAACAGGGCCCAAGTGGTGCGCCCGCCCCGCGCTTGAGCCACATGGCAAAGGAGTCCCCCCATGTGCCCAGGTCCTGCTGGGATCTCACCCTGCGGTCTTGCTTTCGCTGCCCGCGACGATCACCCCCTGGTCCTAAAACCTGGTACCCCAATCTTGGTAGTCTGGAGACTGATACCCACCAAGATGCAGGTCCAGACTGGGCCTGCCGAGGCCAGATATGGGCGAATCGAGCGATACTGGACGAGGGCAGTTGGGCATGATACGAGAGCAGCGCAGGCATCACGAAACAGAGCGGGGCGATGACAGGATATGAATGAAATGAGGAGCACCTCGAGCATTGCTGAGAGCTGGCGTGTGCAGGTCCATGTGGGATGCTGCGGCCGTCCGAGAGCGCCCCAGAACGCCATCGGATGCTCTGGAGCACGGCACTCGCACGGTCAAACCAAGCCGCGGCGATGGAACGTATGGCACCCGGAACGCGCCAAGATGCCAGGGCACCCTTGGATCGAGGAACAGGAAGCATGCAAAGCATGCCTGGAGTCCAGGAACGCAAAGGTGCGTTTCGGGGGCGTCCAAGAGTTGTGCGTCCAAGAGGGGGGCTCGCAAATCATGGTCCGAGGCATGTGCGCGGACCGGGGGGGGGAGGCCAGGGAAAGCACTAAAATCAGACGAGGGGCCATAACATCCGAGGAGGTATCAAGGCCCCATCCATGATATCTCTCCTCTAAATCATCCCCCCTCTTGGCCGTCCCCAAGGCATACCGAAATTGTTTATCCTTCATGCAAGTGTCGACGGCATCACACGGCTGCCTGACGATGGGAGACTGCCCGCCATGGCCCTGGACCCCACCTGCTCGTGTTAGGTCGGGTATGTTTTCCTACAGGCGGACTATGAAATGAAAAATAAAAACAAGTGGCGCGCGTGCTCTGGCACTTGAACATTTGAGGATCGAAAAAGGAGGACGCGCAGGTGGGGGGATCGAGGAGACAAGGAGGAGGAGAAGGAGGAGGAGGAGGGGCAGGTGGGGCCAGGGCACCCCGGCGCTGAATCAGCGATTGTCGATTGTGACCTGCTTGAGTGATTCCCCAAACAGCTTGCTGAACGGGGTGCTGTTGTGATAGAAGCTAACTCCGGCCGAGGGAAATCAAAGCAAAGACGTCCTCAAAATAATTTGGTGGTCTGGGCCGTTTCGCCTGAGACATCCTCGCAACTCTCGTTTCTGAGTTGTCCGGGATTGGGCGTTTCGCGTGAGACATCCTCCAAACTCTGAGTTCCCAAATGCCGCGCAAGAGGTGGTCCGGCCCGTTTCGCCTGAGACATCCTCCAAACTCTGAGCCTTGAGACATCCTCCAAACTCTGAGCCCCGAGCTGCCGCCCAAGAGGAGGTCCGGCCCGCTTCACTTGAGACATCCTCGTACTTTTGCATTCCGAGATGCCGCGCGAGAGGTGGTCCGGCCCGTTTCGTCTGAGACGTCCTCCAAATTCTGAGCTCTGAGATGCCGCGCGCGAGGTGGTCTGGCCCGTTTCGCCTGAGACATCCTCGAAACTCTAAGCTCTGGGCTGCCGCACAAGAGGTGGTCCAGCCCATTTCGCCTGAGACATCCTCGCAACTCTGACCTCGGAGATGCCGCGCGCGACGTGGTCCAGCCCGTTTCGCCTAAGACATCCTCGCAACTCTGAGATCTGAGATGCCCTGCGCGAGGTGGTCCGGCCCGTCTCGCCTGAGACATCCTCCAAACTCTGAGCTCTGAGATGCCGTGCGCAAGGTGGTCCGGCTTGTTTCGCAGAAGACATTGTCGCAACTCTGAGCTCCCAGAGGCAGCGCAAGAGGTGGTCCAGCCTGGGGGCCCAGAAGACCACATGTTACAAATCCTCCCTGGGACCCTGGGAGCCCCAGGAGGCGCCAGAGAGCTCCAGGAGGCCGCAGGACAAGGGTCCCCAGGAGATTCCCAGGAGGCTCCCAGGAGGCCCCAGGACTATCAGAACGTGTCAAGTTAATACACGTCCGGTGTCGATTCGTTGATTGTTCCTGCTCTCGTGGCACCCTCTTGAGGGGCCGTCACATGTTAAATAGATCCCCCCTTGGGAGCCCCAAGAGGCTTCAGGAAGCCCCAGGTGGAGTCCAGGAGGCCACAGGAGGCCCAGGAAGAAGCCCCAGGAGGTCCCCAGGAGGCCCCAGGAGGCCTCAGGAGGCCCCCGCAACTCGGAGCTCTGAGACGCCACGCTCGAGTTGGTCCGGCCCGGTTCGCCTAAGACTTCCTCGCAACACGGTTCGCCCGAGACATCGTCGCAACTCTGGGGTCCGAGATGCCGAGCGCGAGGTGGTCCAGTCCGTTACGCTGGAGACATCCTCGCAACTCTGGGCTCCGAGATGCCGTTCGGGATGAAGAGGAGGTGGAGGAGGAGGTGGAGGAGGAGGAGGAGGAGAAGGAGGAGGAGGAGGAGAAGGAGATGGAAGGGAGAAGGCGGAGGAGGAGGATGTGGACAAGGGAGCAGGCAGGACGAGGGGGGAAGGAGGAGGAGGAGGAGGAGGAGGAGGAGGAGGGAGAAGGAAAGGAGTTGCAGGAGAGGACCTCACGGGAAGCGAGTGCGACGTGGACTTGTCAGAACGTGTGCGAGAGGTTGTCCGGCCCGTTTCGTTTGAGACATCCTTCCAATACTGAGCTCCCAAACGTTGTCCGCGAGGTGGTCCGGCCCGTTTCGCTTGAGCCATCCTCACAATGCGAAGCTCGAAGATGGTCTGGCCCGTTCTGCCTGAGACGTTTCGTAGCACAGGGGCTCCAATCACAACCTCTCTCATTCCTTCTCCCGCCTCCCTCTTCCCGCTTCCCGCCTGGCTCCTCTTCCCTCCTCCCTCCTCCCGCCTCCCGCCTCCCGCTGCTGCGCCTCTGCCTCCGCCTCCCCGTCCCCGCCGTCGTCGTTTCTGCCGCCTCAGCATCTGTCATGCGCGCCCTGCCTGCCGCCCTCCCCAGACATCCGACGTCACGATGTTTCTTTTGAGACATGCGCCGCGTACCTCTCGATATCATCCCCGGGGGAACCATCACGACATGCCCCCCCGCTTTCGCGCCCTCCCTCGCTTCCTCTTACGGTTGCTTCCGAGTTCACAGCATGGCGGTGGAGCCTCTCACAGTGCCGACCCGACAGCTTACTCGTCGACCAGGTGCGAGAGAGTACGACACCCTCTAGCGTCAGCTTCCTGATAGGCATGCGTCACATAAATTTTCGTGCAAACATCTCATGTGCAAACATCACGTTATCATGATCTAACATGCCATGCCAGCCCGCACTGGACGGGCACGCAGTCGACCTTGGAAACCGCAGTGGGTTTGAAAACCCTGTTTGGGGATACTGCACTCCGGCTATATGTTTTTGACAGCTGAGGCGCGGTATATATATATATATATAGAAATAAATAAAAAAAATACAAGTATCGAGGCTGGGCCAGGGGGGGACGCTGGGTCCAGTGACTGGGACCAGGACCACAGGGGGTAGGCTGGGTCCAGTGCCAGGACCAGGGGGGCGAGGGGGCTGGGGCCAGGTCCAGTGGGGGAGGCTGGCTCCAGGGCCAGGGCCAGGACCACGGGGACGACGACGAACGAAAATAAAGGGTCTAGCGCGAGACGGGCTGGGGCCAGGGCCACGGGAGGAGGCTGGGTCCAGGGCCAGGGGTATGACGACGAGCGAAAATGAAGAGTCCAGGGCGATGGGGGCTGGAGCCAGGGCCAGGGCAGAACGCTGGGTCCAAGGACAGGACAAGGACGGCGACGACGAGGGGGGCTGGGGCTAAGACCAGGGTGGGGAGGCTGGGTAATTAGAGGGCCAGGACCAGGGGGGCGACGACGAGCGAAAATCGAGGGTACAGGGCGAGGGGGGCTGGTGCCAGGGCCAGGTGAAGAGGCTGGGTCCAGGGCCAGCGGGGCGAAGGGGGCTAGGCCCAACACCAGAGGAGGAGGTTGGGTCCAGTGCCAGGACCAGGGGGACGACGACGAGGGGGGCTGGGGCCAGGACCACGGGGGGAGGCTGGGTCCAAGACTAGGACCAGGGGGACGGCCGACGAACGAAAAGAAAGGGTCTGGCGCGAGGCGGGCTGGGGCCAGGGCCAGGGGAGGAGGCTAGGTCCAGGGCCAGGGCCCTGGAGGCGACTTGCCAATATTGTGCAAATTTCGTTGCGTGACCAGGCGCAGCACAAGTCGAAAGACAGCCGAGGTGGGACATCGCCCCTCGATCTGGCATGCGATCCAACCGGATAAGAGCAGCAGGTCCCCGTTCGGAGTTCATGCCTCGGCTTCGGCCGATTCGCTCCCCCATGCCTTTACCCTCCCATCGAGCAGCGGACGAATCATGAAAAATCAGCCCGCCCGAGGTGTATGCCAGCCTCCACCACCCTGAGATCCCCGCGCCCGCTCGCAGAGCGTGCCCAAGGGCTTGAGGCTTTGGGCTGCGTGCGGACAGTCCCCCGAGACAGCCCCGGCTGAGCTCAACAGGCTTCCCGAGCATCGGGTCGGACGAAAGAAAGGGGGGGATAGCCTACGGGGCTCAAGGGGGGATCATCGAATCAGACCACGTACCTGGTTTCCCCGGCGCAACCTGGCGCTAGAGGCGCCAGAGCATGGAGGAAAGCGCCTTGCGGCGGGGTGGGGCCGAAACCAGCTGCATGCAGCAGATGTCGTATCCTCCCCTCCTCCCTGTCCCTCCCCCCCCCTCCTCTCGGAGGCGACGATCAAGGCGAGTAGCCCAGGGGTGGGCATGACATGTAATCATTCC